ACACCCTAAAACTCAAAAGACACTGAAAAAAATCTTTCGATCCCATCCCATCTTAGAAAATAAAAGATTGATGTATTAAAAATTGTATTAACGCTTCCCTTGTGTACGATCAGTTTTTCCTCTCTTTTATGTAGTGGAGCCATCCATGTCTGCTTCAAGTCTCGAGTGAGAAACCGTTTTGACAGCTATTGCCACGATTTGGACTCAAATTCATCCTGACATCCTTTTCTCTTCGAAGATTGTGGAGAAGATCTTCATGAGGGGCAAAGGGAGATGGAAAAAACGAGAAAAAGATTGTAGAAATTCCCTCAGAAAGAGATCTGCGCTTAAGGAAACGCCAATGGAAAACCAAACGAAGTCACACACACACACAGAGGTTGGATACTGTTCCTTCGAAAAGTGAATCATTTTCTATGAGAACAAAAACGCACGATCTATCGATCGTATGCTGAATCATGGAAAAGGGAAGTATAATAACAATCAGACGAATAGAAAATTGTCAATAATGTAACTTCTGAGTCTCGTCGTGTCTACATCGTCATCTGTAGATCTCTGTTGAACTCTACCTTCCCATTCGTGGGGGTAGCGATTAAGAAAGGGAGAACCGATATGAAATTCGTAAAGAGATTTACCACTGGTAGAAGATACAATAAATTTAATAGACCGTCAACGGAAATGGTGTTACAACGTTCTATCTAGGGTTGTAAGCTACTAAACAAACCGTATTTCATAACACTGCTTTCAGCATTAAAAACAGGATGCCTAAAAATTGCATGCATATTATTGGCATTCATTATGTAATGTAATCATGGAATTAAAATGTATTGTGATCGTAAACAAAATTTTAAGCCAATATCTAACTTTTTTTCTGAAGTTCAGTACGACTTATCTCAAAAACAATGTCGGGGGTTTCGTGAAGAAACCGGGTCTATTTTAATTTAGGTGCGTGTTTGTTTGAAGGTTTTAATTAAAGGTTCTCGTTTGTGACGTGTTTCCGTAATGCAATATTTGATTTCTCAATTCCTGTGGTTTTGTTTCAGGGTCGAATATAGTTGGAAGATGAATGGGTTTAGTAAGATGTATGTGGCGGCAAAACGGAACGATCGATCACGTGATCAGTGACTTGTATGAGTGTGTCGATGTGTCAGTTTCTCCTTCGGCTTCCCATTTCCTATATACGTTTATATTCCTGCAGTATACAGAGGTCATTTTTGTTTCCCACCACACGAATCCAACTCCCATCTTAAGGAGGCGTTGCAACAGTTGCTAAGTGACGCAGATTCTACAACTCAGACCTCGCTCTTCGTTCTGGCATCGATATAGTTTTATTAAATTCCACTGAGCATTCTGTTACCCTTTTAAGAAAAAATACCATCGGTGTTAAAACGAAATTTATATAAGTATGTTGAGAAGATCTAAGGGCGGGGCATTTACGTTAACCGTCAACCTTACTGACTCTTTGTAAAGCGAAAAATAAATTCTTCTGTCTTAAGATGGATGTCTTCTGGGTTGTTGCGCCGTGTAGTCTGATAGAAGTTTACCTACTTTTCAGAGGTCCTTGTTGCCTCCATCATCAGGGCGAAGGACCTCTGAAATGTCGGTATACTTCTACCAGACTACACGGCGCTACAACCCAGAAGGCAACCATCTTCAGACTCACTGCCGTGAAAACCTCAAATCATACGCTTTTGTCTTACTTTCATCGTTTATTGGAGCTCCACACACAGAAAAACAACAGAGCTAGCCAGATAAAAGTGTTAACCGGTTTAACGTGGTTAACATGAACCCTCCACCCACCGTCCCCTCCCCCCTAACAGTATAAAACACCTCTTCAAGTTTCAGCGGGAATGCGTTATTTTAGCTTAAGGGTGGTGCAGACCAAGGTGAACAATGTTGAATATTTATTGTTCGCGAACGTTTCTGAACTGTAGTGTTTGTAGACAATGTTGACAAACCCACGACGTCTGGAACAAAACATCTTTTTTTAGTTCTGTCGAAGATTTGATTATCTACACAGCAACGTTTATTATAATGAGTACTGAAGCTAGAAAAGAAAAGTAACGAAGTTGGCAGATAAAGACCTTGCTTAAAAAGAACGCGCAGGGTTAAGTTTGCTTGCAAATCTTAGTGTGGAAGATGGAAGTGGTTTTCAAGATTCTTAAATGACACACTACAAATATTCCCTCAAGTCGTATTGTAGTGTTTTATTAAGAAGATTGTTTTTCTTCTGGGCTGTTGCGACGTATAGTATGGTAGATATCCACCAACGTTTCAGAGGTCATGCTGCCTCCTTCATCAAAGCGATGATTATTCATACACGGCGCAACAGCCCAGAAGACAGCAATCTTCATACTCACCGCTGTGAAAAACTGAAATTCTATACAGTGTTTTACTAAATTTAACATTTGTTGTTTGGACCACTGGACATCCATACTTTCGTGCTGAAATTGATCCACGTTTCGATATTATTTTAATTATTTACGTAACGTTGTTAAAATAAGCTGAAAGTATGCAGGATATATATTCCTAAGTATATATTCCTTTTCTGAATCTACTCAGTGTACTCCGATTGATTTTGGTGTCGGATATATACTCTGTAACATATTGAGCGACTTCTTATCTTTATTTCAGTGTAAGTTCTGCTCTTCGTGAAGTTAAAATGGAAATTTATAAAAATATTTGGTTTATTTCTTAAAATATTTACGCATGACACACAATATGCATCTTGTTAAGGCCTGCACCTGTTTTATGGAACAATATTTTGATATGATACGCGTACATAGATCCACATGGGCGGTTTAATTGATTGTCGTAAACAACGATGTGGATAGGCGTAATAGAAAAGGTAAGACGATTTATTGAGGAGCGATAATCCAAAATCCAAGTCAAATTCAAACCAACTACATGTATAACGAAATACATGTAAATTTTGTTTATGGCTGTGTGTTTTAATTGATGTTCCCTATTGGTATCTGTGTAAGATAATATATTTTAACTATAGTAACTTAATAGTTCGCTATTGGAGAAAGTAGTTTGATTTCTATTGTTCTTTTAATCTACTCTCCAAGTCAATAAATCAAAATTATTTCATGGAATTGCCAGTCTCATTGTCGGATCAGATCAGTAGGACATCTGTTTGCTAATGCCATGACGTTGTTGTTAGTTGTGGGCTTAAGAAAATGTCTTGCAAACTGCCTATTAAGTCGTTAATGGTTCATTAATGCCAGTTGGTTCATCTCTCAGTCCATTAAGAGGAACATTAAATGAGACTTCAACAGAATTTCCCGCTCAAGCCCGAAATGTGTCACTTTAGCAAAAGGAAAAAAGATCGATCTGTAATAAATAAATGATTGACTTGCACGTACTGGTCTCTTAAACATCCAGCAAAGACTTCTCCCTCTTCGAAAAAGTAACAGATCTGTATTAGGGTTTATTCTCTCATGTATAAGATTTTAACTATCTCTTGCTTTTGCTCGGTTGTTCACGAAATACACTGTCGTCATTTGCATTAGATAAATGACTTATTTTATAATATAAATAATAGTATTAGAGTCAAATTACGATAAAGATGGCTGTCTTCTGTGTTGTAGCCTCCATCATCAGGGTCCTCCTGCCAGACTACACGGTACTACAACCGGTACTTATCGCCGTGATAACCTCAAATCATACAAATTATATTGAATTTACATGCACAGACTTGGATGATACACCATTTTAATAGTGTATTTTTTCCGCGAAAGGTGGTTCTTGAACACACAATTTGATAATATGACATAACATAGGCTTGTGTTACGAGTACCTCACTGCAGTATTAGAGCAGATATAGATGTTTGAGAACAAGTGGCAAAGAGAAAAATGAATTAATTTTGGGATGAAGGAAACTTCATAATTTGACCTCTGGGTTGATCAAATCAATGAAGATGAGAAGGGCCGGAAATATAGCTAACGCATGGGGAGGATTAAGGAAGCATCCGACATTTTCTTTAAGAAACTTTAAGGAAATGGAACACTTGAGATTCCTAGACGTAAATCAGATTATAATATTAAACTGAATCTTAACTATGGTGTGAGAAATGTCTGGATTTAATTAGCGCAAAGTGCTGTCCAGTGGTTGGTTGTGTTGACACGGTGATGAACATCGATTTGCAGAACAGCGTGGACAATACGACTACAGGTTGAGCACAAAAGAGTAGTGACGATCATAGTTAAAGTATATTTGTAACCGGAATCCCCAGTAGTAGGGACAATAATTAAGGTTCCTCGATGGATAATTACTCTATCGTTCATCTTCATTTATAATCATCGTATAATCCTACAGTCTTCATTGCTTTCTCTTAACATATAAACCTAGACCTTCCTCTCTTTTTCCAGCATTTATTCTCATCGTTCTCGGTCTACTGTCTAGTTTTTGGTTCTATCTCATTCAATCCCCGAAACTAGTTATTTCCTCCTGCAGTTGGTAACCATGTAAAAGCACACTAGCGGGTTATCTGTCAGTTTTGCGATCGTGAGGACGTCGGGTCGTTACAATATGTGACTGTATAAGTTTAAAAATTAAAATATATGTCCCTAAAATTAAAATAATAACTAACTCTGCTTAATTTATGTTTATGTTTCATGTTGTACTAATTGCACTTTAAATACTGATCTTGCTCTGTGATCCTTTTATTCGTAAAACACAAGTTTAGCTATAGGCTAATGATTACATGTTTGTTGTCACTATTTATTTTATATCCTGTAGTGCATATCAGATATATTTATGTTATGGGCACGATGTGATCGCGGGTCTTAATCTCGCTCTAGCACGCATGCGTACGGACCTGCGTTTTCTTATTATGTCTTGTGACTACAGATGCATTTGAACATGCTGAAACCCATCCAAAGAACCCTACATCGTGCTTACATTCATTGTCCCAGAATTAAATTGGGGGTGGAGTAGTCTAGAGTTATTGATCCCTGAAAATACAAGAAGAATAAGAACTGTCTTTATTATATGACAGGTGGATGAGAAGACGCGGCCAATAACGAGAGCAGGGCGCATTCAACAGCCGGTATCAGCAACAGAAGATCAAGGTTAAGTTCAGAAAAGTATACAGATTTTTTGCGATAATAATATCTGGCATTTCTTAAAATACGGACTTTTTATATGCTTAGGTCTGCCTGTTTTCCACACTGAAATGTTCTTGAACTCTCAGAATACTCCTGGACTATGTTAATATGCCGCACACAGAATGTGGAAGGATTATACGAGAAGTAATGATAAATAAGACATTTTTCGTTTTATTATTTGTAGGATCCTATTCCGCATAACCAGCAACTTCTCTGGCGTTTACGTAAAATACATTTTTCCAGGATTCTTGCATTCGAATGATTAAAAGTCATTTCAATTTAAACATTTTCCCGTTTTAATTGAAAACACTGCGTTGTAATTAGCTACAACGAAATTGATATACGTTCAGTCTTCCTGGATCCATCATATGTACTCGTGATTTGTATACGTCTTGAATAAATGACATTCTCTAGAAACTGACAATAAAATATCTGCATCACGTGATTTAACACCGATTAAAATTTCCCCTAATAGACAAGACTGCAAAGGTGTACTGTGCGTAGGACATAAAATTTTCAAAAGTGTTCTTTACGCCACTTTTGAAAGGTGTGGTATTAAATAATTCCTGTGACCACTGATAGATAGTAGTTCGACTGGCTGATCGATATGACAGACGGACAGACTTGACGTACAGTTTAATCATCCACTGATAGATGCCAGCACGATCATTCAGTTTAAATACGACTGTCCCACTGCGGGACAAACACCATGGGTGGTCTAGTCTAAGGCAGGTTTAAAGCTACACGTGTAGTTTGTTCACTATAATTGGCCACCCCTGGACAGTTATAAGAAAGCCAAATCCATATGTTGAAAGACCTGGAAAGGCAAAGCATGTGGTATCATACCCAGGGGTAGGAGAGAGTGAAACCTCAGTTAAGTCCAGGACCGGATTGAATTCTGGAATTGCAAACCCGGGCGTGGGATAGCCACTGGGAAAAGTCCCGTGGGTGTGCCTAGATCTTTGGGGTGACAGGCCCGTAGTGCCATAACCCGGAGAGTGGTGGCGCCAGGAGTGGCCAAGCCTAGTGCAAGGCCATTGATTTTGAAAACTGGGAAGCATGCTAAGGGGAGCAAGCCTGGGGTACAAAACCGAGGGCTCCAAAACCATGGAATGGCAATTCAGGTAGATTAAGCCTCGCTTGAGCAAACTCCGATGGTTGTAGCCCCGGAGGGGGGAGAGCCCCGGTATTGCAACCCCGAAGCTAGTTTAAGATCTAAGGGGAATCCCTGCGGATGTCGAAGCTACGAGGGTCCGCTCTCGGGGGTTGCTTGCCGAAATACACAACAGAAATCTAGACGTACATCTTGAAATAATAATCGCATTAAAATTATTAACAATCATATAATAATTTTTTCTCATAAAATCATGGTTAAATGACGTAACTTAAAACTATCATTGTCATTAATCATCATAATTTAATAATAATCGGAATTAACATCATCTGTTGAATGTGATATCAAACATTTCAAATGACTACTGATAGATGGTGGCACGATGTCGTCATTTGAAAGACAGGATAGACTAACAGACGGACAGAAGGTGCCTTGTTATTCTGTTTTACTAAAGCGTTAAAAAAGATCTGAATAAGAACAACCACCTTCACAAAGGACTCGTTTTGTCGAGAGTACGAATTCTGCCATTTCAGTATCTCACTCACTTGAAACATAATTCCAGATGACAGGGTATTTTCCTTTTTGCCCACTTTTCTTGAACAGACGGCTAAAAGGTTCGGTAAATTCCAGTCTTTTTGTGTCTTGTTTCCTTTCTTTGTAATTAAACTAGAAGGTTTTAAGGATAAATAAGACAATATGTTACCCTGTGCATATTTGCATTGTTCTTAGGCTCTCAGGCTATTACTATGATGGTACTCCAAAACACATTAAAACTTAAAATTCTCGAAGTTGAATCCCTTCGTTGGAATATGTGGTGATTCCGAGGAAATTTACGTAGGACATATACTCAAAAAAGTAGACTAAAACGGAAAACTAAATTAATAACTGTATTAAATTAAAGATTGGCTACGAACTTGCGGCAATAATAATTGCACTTACTGCATGTGACGTTATTCGATTTTGTACCCACAATTTCAATAGCTGATAATTTATTTTTATATAAAAGGTAATTAAGTCAAGAAGAATTAGATGGGGGGGACATGTAGCGTGCATGGATGGGACAAGAGGTGTGCACCGGATATTAATTGGGAAGCATGAGAAGAAGAGACCGCTGGGGAGACCTAGACGTAGATGGAAGGATAATGTCAGGCGGGATCTATGGGAGATAGGAGTCGAGGGAGATTGGATTTTGTTGGCCCAGGACAAGGACTGGTGGAGGGCTTTGATTAATTCGGTGATGAACCTTCGGGTTCGGTAAGCCATCTAGTTGGTTAGGTAAGTAACTTCAACCCCTTCAAATAATTTAATGCTTTTATAACTAAGAGTTTTAGAAACAGGAATGTGGTAATGTAAGACACCAAACAGACGGCATTGTGTCTTCGAGATAGAGGATTATACTAGTTCAAAATGTTAATAACACGTGTTTTAATTACAACGCGTATATAAGAAAAGAGCTGTGTAATACTGCCGTAAAGTGAAAAGTAAAATTACAATTTGAACAAAACTGTAAAGGAATGACTAATAGGTATTTTTCTCATTGATTCCTTTTACTGTTAGAGACACAGAAAAACGCGTTTGACCAAATGCCTTCGTTATAAGTTTTTAGGAAAATAACACCGACATTTCATTGTCCTGTACAGACTGTGTTCCTCTTTGTCCTTTTGCAATGTTTGAGCCCAAATATGTTATAAACTACTTGAGATATGAATAGTTGTTGAGCACTTACAAGCAATGGGGTTGTTTTTCGTTACTACTCTCTCGGTCCTGTTTGCTGTATGACCGAGAAGGTACCTCCTGTAATATCTGGAGCCTAGGTCTCGTACTGCCTTGTATTAAGTCAGAAACGAAACTATTAAGGCGAGTTCCATCCACTCCACATTACAATCAGTGTATTAGAGATTGAGAACTGAGAGGGTTTCTCTACAGTGCAGGGGAGGAAAAGCAGAAGTAATAACAAGAAGCCGTATAAAATAACTTGTTCGCGGAATGTGATATAATGTGATGTCGCACGACTTGTAGGTGTTTTTACTTTAAAACCATGATACCTAACA